TTAACACACACAATGCCCTGGGATTTCTCTGCTTGCTTTTCCCTTACTCTACCCTCCTACACCATGCACACCTGTAAAATTTGAAAGCAAAACCCCTTAACTGTTGAAAATCATGCATTAAAGTTGATTACTTATAAATATGAACTTTTGATCACCATGTGGGCTGCTAAATTTTATCTGTTACTCTTTGTTAAACAGTGTGAGGCAGACCAAAACAAAACAAAAACAAAACCTTGCTACAAATGTTACATTATTATTCAGTGTTCTTACTATTCTTTGAATATTACACTCCTCTCGTCCATTTTGTGTATTGTTTTTTTATATCATAGAGTCAGCTTTTGGCTTTTATTGATAAAGTATCTTGAATGCTATTTCTTTTTCATTTGTAAATACCTTCAGTAGTTGCTTATTTCTTGGGGTTTGTAATTCTTATAGAATCTTGAATTGATAGATTTCTTGAAAATTTTCTTAAAATGTTTGCTGTGAGGCCAGGTGTGCTGGCACACACCTGAAATATTAGCACTTGGAAGTGATGGCTAGAGGATCCAGAGTTCAAGATCAGCCTTGCTAGTTGAAGTCCTCCACTGCAGGAGGACATGTCTCAGAACAAGCAACGTTTGGTATGAAACAATGCAAACAAAGTTACAAAGTAATACCCTGCACTTCCCTCCAGCACCCATCCTCCACACTGTCTCACACTGGCCTCGGGTTCTGTGGTCCTTATCTCTTCCCTCAGATGCTGTTCAGGTTCCTCTTCCCCGACCCATGACACTCTTCTTGGGTGAGTTCACCACCTGGGGCATCTCCCAGGGTCCCATCACAGAGGTGAAGGCATTTCCAAGGACTAGGTACTTGCTGAAGACCTGTGCTCCAAATACAGCATAGTGCCTAGAATTATATCACCCGTACATAGCTGGGACAATCTGCCTGCTTCTGAAAATCTGGTTGCTGCAGGCCTAGGAAGCCAACTAATAAATGCTAAAACTATTCCCAGTTCAGTAGTCTTTTTTTTTTTTTTGAAGATTTATTGCGGGACAGTGGTGGTACATGCCTTTAATCCCAGCACTTGGGAGGCAGAGATAGGAGGATCTCAGTGAGTTCAAGGCCAGCCTGGTCTATAAAGTGAGTTCCAGGACAGCTAGGACTGTTACACAGAGAAACCCTGTCTCCAAAAACCAAAACCAACCCCCCCCAGCCAGAAAATTATTATTATGTCATGCAGTGGTGGTGTACACCTTTAATCCCAGCACTAGGGAGGCAGAGACAGGTGGATCTCTGAGTTTGAGATCAGAATGGTCTACAGATCAAGTTCCGGGACAGCCAGGACTACATAGAGAAACAGTCTTGAAACAAAAACAAAAGCAAAGAAACAAAACAAAAGCTTATTCCATTTTTTAAAGATTACTGAAATTTTATGTGTGGGTGTTTTGCCTGCTTGTATGCCAGGCCACAGAGGCCAGAAAAGGGCATTGTGTCCCCCAGAACCAGAGTTACACATGGTTGTGAGCCACCATGCAGGTGCTGGGCATTGAACCCCAGTTCTCTTGAAGAGCAACCAGTACTCTTCACAGAGGAACCCTCTCTCTCTATGTTTGTTTAAGATTTACCTTTACTTACATGCATGTTTGTGTCTGTGCATTTGAGTATCGGTGGCTGTGGTAGAGTTACAGGCAGTTGAGAGCTCCCTGAAGTGTGTGTTGGGTGCTCTGCAACCGTAGTGTGAACTCTTAACTGCTGAGCCATCTCTCTGCTGGTATTGTAAGTAGAACCTGGCTGTGACTATCTCTTGTCTTCCTGAAAACAGTCAGTGGTCAGAATTCAGAACTATCAATATACGTCAATATCACACTCTACTGTAACCCTTACGTACCCTCCTTGAGGATACTAACTCCCTTTTGCCCACTGTAGTTTTTTTTCATGAGGAACCAAGATTATATGAAAATGAAAATAAGAGCTTTAATCTTATTGTTATCTAATGAAAATAACTATTCAACACAGTAGAGGGAAATTTATTTATGTGGATCCACCTTTTCCAGAATGACCCTAGAACTTGTATTTTGTGAAAAACCCTGCTGTTTACTGTTCTGTCTTGTGGTCACTACTTTAGTGACAGAGGGACTCTGAACTTTAAGCAAACCACACCCCAACATTTTATATGCAAGGGGTTGGTTAAAATTAAAGGTCAGTACTTTGATAGGTTCACTTTAAAATGTTTTCCATATCAGCTACTTAAAACTACTTACAGTATGGGCTGGTAAGATGGCTCAGTGGATAGAGGGGCTTGCTGCCAACCTTGACAACCTGAGTTTGATACCCTGGACCTGAATGGTAGGAGAGAACCTACTCCTAAAAGTTGTTCTCTGCCCTCGACTGTCCCTAATAACTGTTTTTCTCTTTTCTAAAGCTCAATTCACAAAATGATCTTCTACTTTAGAAGACACAGAGAAGGAAAGACCTTGGAGAGTGTGATGGTTATTGGTGGTTGTCAACTTGACTACATCTGGAATGAACTATAATCCAGAAATGGCGAGCACACCCCTGAGAGATTATTTTTTCTTGAGTGAAGCCACTCCTAGTCTGGACTCTTGAGGAATAACACACACCTTTGATCAGATCAGAGCCAGGAGGGCACAACTTTAATCTGGACCACACCTTCTGCAGGACAATTATATAAGGACAAGGGAGAAGGAAGCTTTTGCTCTCTGCCTGCTTGCTCTCACCTTGTTAGCACATCCATGCCTTCACTGGCAGTGAAGCCTACTTCTCAGGGACTCCAGCATCTGCTGAGGACAGCTGAGACATCCAGCCGTGTGGACCGAGCAACCACTGGCTTCTTGGACTTTCTGTTCACAGCTAGTCATTGTTGGATTAATTGTACTTAAGCCTGTAAGACATTCCAACGAATGTACACACACACACACACACACACACACACACACACACACAGAGAGAGAGAGAGAGAGAGAGAGAGAGAGAGAGAGAGAGAGAGAGAGAGAGAGAGAGAGATTCATTCTGTAACTTGCTACTCTAGAGAACCCTGACTAATACAGAGATGATATAGTGAATGAGCCCACCGCATACCCCCACTCTCGCCTTGAGGGCTACAGATTGGGCTTCTGGATTATTCTGAGGTCACCGGTAGCCATTGCTGTGCCGGAGCTCACCAGCAGCCAGGTACAGTGTGTTTATAAGATGCACCTGTCTTCTGGGTCCTGTTTTTTATCGTGACTCTAGTAGTGTCTTCACAGAAGACTGAGAGGGTTCCTGGACTCCCAGAAGCCAGTCAGGCAAGTTGTTTCTAATTAAAACCCGTCTTTTATGTCTGTGGGTGCCTTGCCTGCACGCATGTCTGTGCACATGAATGCAGTGCCCCCAGAGGCCAGAAGAGGGTGTGGGATCCCTTGGAACCTGAGTTACAGGTGGTTGTGAACCCCACTGAAATTGTTCTCTGGAAGAGCAGCCAGTACTCTTAACACTGAGTTATCTCTGCATTCCCATCCCCATGCTTGTTGTTTTAGACAGGTTTTCTCTGTGTAGCCCTGGCTGTCCTGCTCTGTAGACCAGGCTGGCCTTCAGCTCACAGTGATCCACCTGCCTCTGCCTCCCAGGTGCTGGTATTAAAGACGTGCACCACCACCACCTGGACCATATTTTGTTTTAAAGATTCATCTTTAGTTACGTGTATCTGTGAGCCCCTGTGTGAAGGTGTGTGCTGGTGTCCACAGAGGCCAGAGAGAAGGCATCAGATCCCCCAAGCTGGAGTTACAGGTGTTTGTGAGCCACCTGATGTGGGCACTGGGAGCTGGATTCAGGTCCTCTGGAAGAGCAGCAAGTACTCAACCACTCAGCCCTCTCTGCAGCCCCAAGTCCGCTTCTTATACAGGTAAGTACTAATTGCAAGGTGCATGGCTATCACCGGGGGGAGCTCTAAATGGCCCTGAGCCATGACACTTGTCCTTCTGTGCTAAAGAGCCAACTGTACAAGAACAATGGGGACGGCACAGCATGCATTTCCAATGGGAGAAGGTTGGCAGATGTCAGTCTCAGGCTTATTGAGTTGGAAGGACAAATCATGGCTTGTATTTACACACAGACCCAACAGACCAGTGGTTCTCAACCTTCCCAATGCTGTAACCCTTTAATACAGTTCCTCATGCTGTGGAGACCCCCAACTCTAACGTTATTTTACTGCTACTACATAACTGTAATTTTGCTACTGGTTGAATCATAATGTAAACATCTGGGTTTTCCAGTGGTTTTAGGTGACCCCTGTGAAAGGGACAGATGACCCACCCCAAGGGGGTCACAACTCAGAGGTTGATAGTCACCACAATAGATAGATACACAAAAACTCGGTCATTTCTGGTCATAGAGTACACAAGACTCTGACAGGAAAAGCCACAAGTTTCTGCAAACACCCATTTTCTTGTCAATACATGAATTTAAAAGTTCTTCCGAAAGAACAAGAGTGACTGCTGTACCAATGTTTGGAGTGGTTACCATAGCAACTGGGGTCCCCCCTGTGCTCTTCTCACATCTCCTCTATCATAAATTTTGCTCATCTTCACACTGTTATACAAATGTCATGTGGTTGAGTTTTGTGAAACTGGTATAGTTGAACAAAGAGATGGTTTTTATCTGGTCAAACCCACTGAAATCTGCGCTCTGGTTCACTAAACATATACTGTCTGCAGCTTCTGTCTTGTGTCAGTAGAGGGGGTGAAATGCTAACCCCATTTATCAGCTGTTATGCAACTTTGAAAATGGTGCTTACAGACTGCTAGTGAATCCTATCAAACAGAGAGTGATGCAATTCCCAAGGATTTGGTACTAACTAAAGAACTGTGCTCCACATGCAGCAGACTGCCCGTAGCTTATCACCCGTACTTAACTGGGACAGCCTGCCTGCCTCTGGAAAGATACAGCCTGCCTTCTGGGAATCCCGACTCTGCGCACTCAGTCACATTCAGTGCTAGACCCCCCGTGTCACTTCCCTGACATCAGTGAGAGAGGCTTTATTGCCAAGATCATTATAATTTCTCAGGAGATATAAAAATATAAATAACAGCAATATTCTAAGAATTTTAAGTTTCAAACCAGGGCCAGGATCCAAGAGAAAACGATAACACTCAGACACTAAAGGCAAAAGGCCGATGACAAAAGCATGTTCAGTCTAGAGGTCTGGCTTAAAGGACAGCCACCTGCCCCCTGTTCTTCTGGGCCCGAAGTTTTCTTATCGGTTAACATTTACAGATCCTCCAAGTCAGTTAAATCCACGGCCACTTTCAGGAACAGGGTGTCATCTTTAATGTAAGTATTCTTGGAATTCTCCAGGGTAGAATGTGACACAAAGCGGGGACAGCCAGAGGCAATGTTCATCTCCCCGTCAGGTCTTCTGAAACTGCTGCTGTTGGGGTCAGCTTTGAAGGTCTCCACAATGTGGTTCTTCTTGCCACTCTGGTCCAAAAGCATCAGGGTCACCCTCTGCCTGAATGGCCACTGCAACAGTGAGTCAAACTCACCCCGCATCACCACAAAGTACAGGGACAAGTGGGTCCCCTTGCCAGACCCGTCCCCATTCAGGTAGGCCCTAGCACAGAGCCGGTAGCCACAGCGGCTGGTGTAGAAAGGCTGGCTGAAGACGGACACGACATGCCCCTCCACGGCCTTCCTCTTCTTCGCCTTGTAATCTGTCACCTTCCAGATGAGCTTGCCGCTGTAGCAGGCGCCCTCCAGCAGTTTAAATCTTTCTTCGTTCTTATTCAGCTGGGCTTTGTGGATATTAATGTGTGCGTCATGCTTGCTGGTCTCTCCCTCTAAAACAACTGAAAGGAAACACAGAACAGGAGGCTAGAGCGTGGGCCTGCTATCCAAACACCAACAACAAAATACCGGCATGGAAAGTGGAACTAAGCATAGAATCCACACGCGGACCACGTGCACGTGTACCACACACATGAATAACGTTAGCTCAGTGGACGCCACACCTCGGTGAGCTGACACCAAGCAAACAGGGACTCCGTCCTCTTACTCGAAGCTTGCCCAAGTACAAGATGCACAGGGCATCCCCCTCCAGCCGAGCCTTACAGTGCTTTAGCCAGTGTGTGCGTGGGTGTGATGGAAGTGTCTACCCATTCTTGCATGTGCGTGAGGTATATGTGTGCATGCAGAGGCCAGAGTTGATGTGGAGTGTCTTCCTCAATTGTCCTTTAGTCTTCTGAGGCAGGTCTCTCTCGGAACCAATCCCTGCGGTTTTAGCTGGCTTGTTCTGGGAATCCTGCCTCAGCCTCCAGAGTGCTGGGATAACAGGTGGCCCCAGGCTTACTCAGCATTCACACGGCTCTAGGGATTCAAACTCCAGGTCATGTTGATGCCACAGATGTGTGTTATCCCCTGAGACATCTCCCCAGCCCCCATAATGCATTTTACATACAAAAGCTTTACTCTTATACATGCGTGTGCCATAGCCTACACGTGGAGGTCATAGGACAACTTTCAGTAGTTGGTCCTTTCCCTCCACTATGCAGGCTCCACAGGCACGTACGTGTACCACACACATTAGTAACGTTAACTCAGTGGATGTGACGCCTCGGTGAGATGACACCAAGCAAACTCTGGGTGTTGCAGTTTGAATGAGTTGTGCCCCCATAAATCTCAGGTGTTGGAATGTTTGGTCTCTGGTTAGAGGCTGTTTGAGGAGGATTAGAAGGTGTGGTCTTGTTGGAGGAGGTGTGTCACTGCCCCCGTCCCCGCCCCCACTGTCTGCTGCTGTCACGCTCCCTATGTGTTGGTGATGGTTCTTATCTGTCTGGAACCATGAGCTGCCTCAGCTATGGTGTTTCAGCACAGCAACAGAAAAGTAACTAATATACTGATCATCTTGACTGCACAGCGAATCACTGCTGTGCCATCTCACCCGCCCTGGTGTGGCTTTTAAAAGTCAGACCCTCTCCTAGTTTTCTACACCTAAGACAGCCAGTCAGTCAGTCATCCCTCGCCTCTCTCCTTTGGCTCATTACTGTTTTCCCCTGTTCTTAACAGGGACCACCCCTGCTCTCGGAACTGCCTGGGCTGTTTCAGTGCTGTGCCTGATCCCCCCTCCCCATCAGAGCGGCCCTCATTTTGGCCCAGGCAGCTAGACTGTCAGGCTGCTTCAGGAACAGGATTCAGCCAGTTTATCCCAGAGAGCTGGGCTGCCACATGTTGGAGGCGTTAGCTTCTGTCACAAATGCATGCAGGGTAAGTCATGAGAAAGAAGTGGACTGCCACACACCTAATCTCTGGTCACTGGCTTCCAGCAGGGTGACTTTCTGCTTCACGCTGTCAATCGCTTCCACCAGAGAGTGCAGGTCGAATCTATTTTGCTGCTGGTTAACTATTTGCAGCAGCTGGCGCACCTGCGCTTCCAGCCAGGCGGACTTGTCGATGTGACTGGTCAGAGCCTGGCGGTGCAAAAAGAGCATCGTATTTGGAAATTAGACAATAGATTTGTCATTTGTTAAGGTTGAATTTCAACACAGATATTTCATATGTAATCCATTAATGAAAAGAAAGTGACACAGACAGAAAATTCAGTAAGCATGCCCAAGTCACCAGCCCCTGCCTTTCCCCCTCATCTCCGTCTGAACCCTTCTGGTGAGTCTGTGAGCTTTTCTTAAAGTGTCTGAAGTACCCCCTCCACGTGTTCTCTGGCTATCACTCCTGTTGCCTTAGCACTTCCTTCCCTGAACAGCCAGTCTCCCAAGGCCCCCTCTGTAAGGAAGCAGACACTGAACAGGGTCCCTGTTCTGGCCCAGGCAGAGAGGACAAGTCCAGAAGAGCCCTGCATGCTCCACAACTCTCTTGGATGGAGGGCATTAATCTGTCTGTCTGCCTTGCCCAAACAGTCTTAATTCCACCCTGGTGGTCTCTGTTTAGAAACAAGTCAGGACTTACAGTATGATAGGTTTCTTTCTTCTGAACATGTTCATACATGCAAGTGCCTGTATGCACACACATCTGCACACACATGTGCAGAACATGTAGAACATGTGCACATATGAATACATATATGTATATGATTGCTGAACAAGCATAGAGTTTGTGTGGCCTAGATTTCTGGAACAATACAACTTTCAATTATATTGCCCACATTACAAGTCTTAAAACCCCCACTGCTAATCTCACAATGATGACTTTCATCTATTTGTTTAATGCATGTTCTTCCCAGGGTAACTAATGATTTTGCTCTGTTGTCTGCAGAATGCAGAACTATGTCCTCAATGTGTCTCAAATAGGGGAATATTAACCTAACATTAGTTAAAACCCTATTTTCATACATACCATGAAAGTATGATGTAAATATTACATCTATCAACGTTGGTGAATATACCGGGTCATGAAAGCGACAGTGTTGCTATCAGAGGCAGAGAACCACAACACATCAAGAATTCTTTCTGATGTGCACCGCCACACGGCCACACAGCCAGAGGAGGGGAGAGCGCCAGAAATAGCGACCGATGGGGACAAGGTGTTGTTGCTGGGGACGGGGGCTGTGCAGGTGCGAACTAACTCTGGCAGCTTTTCTATGCGTTTGAAATGGTTTCCATTTAAAAAGTTAAGAGGGAATCCCCTAGTGAGGGGGTTCAGCCAGCAGTGCCATGTCTTACCTTGGTGTTTTTTCTTTGCTTTCTTTCTTTTTTTCTTTTTCTTTTTATTACATACACAGTGTTCTGCCTACGTACCAGAAGAGGGCACCAGACTGACTGTAGATGGTTGTGAGCCACCATGTGGTTGCTGGGAATTGAACTCAGGACCCCTGGAAGAGCAGTCAGTGCTCTTAACCTCTGAGCCATCTCTCCAGCCCTTTTCTTTGCTTTCTTAAAAGATTTATACTGCTTTTATTTTATTTTACGTGTGAGTGTTTTGCCTACATGTATGTCAGTGTGCCTGCATAGGTCAGAACTGGGTATTGGATCCCCTGGAATTGGTGCCTGCAGAGGTCAGAACTGGGTATTGGATCCCCTGGAATTGCACTCATGGATGGTTGTAAAGTACCATTGAATGTATTTGGGAATTGAACCTTGCAAGAGCAGCAAGTGCTCTTACCTGCTGAACCAGGTCTCCAGCCCTTCTCTTCTTAAGAAAAAATAATAAAATAAAATATGTGTATGTGTGTGTGCTCGAGTATACGGATATGGAAGCCAGAAGAGAGTATCAGATCCTCTGACCTGGAGTTACAGGTGGCTGTGGGCCACTGAGTCAGCACTGTAACCCCCAGCCATCTGCCCAGCCCTTACCTGGACGTTTGCGAGGAAACTTCCATTCCTGCCAAACATCTGTGTGAACTGCTTAAACTCCTTTTCGAACTTCTTCACGGTGTCTGCCAGCTGCTGGATCTTGCTTTCTTTCTGTTCCAGACTCTGATATAAGTCAGAGATCTAATAACCATCATGTGAATGAAAGAGATGAGTTGTTAGGTGTGTGCACACAGGCTAATGGGGAAATGGTACGAGTGCATTCCCAGGGCAGAGTCCTGTGTAATTCAAGAAAGTATTTGCAGGTAGTCCCCCAAAGAATGTTCTGTCCCTGACCCACGGTGATGGCCCGCCACTCAGGGGTGTCACATGGCTGAACTCAATAAACTGCCTCGTGTAGCCTTTCACTGCGTGCTGTCAGTCAGCCTCTACGCTTATCAGGGCATCTGCCTGCCATCTCTGCCTCTGCCTTGCCCTTCGAGTCCCCAGAGAACCCCCTTGGGTAAACTGTCAGCACACAGCAAGTGTAGCCAAACTAGGTGAACACTGCTAAACTTAGACGTCGTGATCAGTCTATGTGCACACACGCATGTCTGCTGTTTCCTCTGCTGCTCTGGACCTCCTCCCTTGAGACAGTCTCTCACCGAGCCTGGACTCAGGCTGCTGGCCCTCCACGCAGCCATCCTGCCACCCCAGAATTTGTAATCTATTTGAGGCAAACAACCAAAAAAACCAAGAGCGATCCTATTCAGTCTGGATACTGGCTAACTTTTGCTCACAACATTAGACACAGAAAAGCTCTTACTCTGTTTCTCACTTTCTCTCATTTGTGTGTTTGTTTGGTTTCTGGTTTTTGAGAGTCTGTGGCCCAGGCTGACCTGTAACTAGCTACATAGCTGAGCATGACGTAGACTTCTTGCCTCCACCTCCCAAGTGCTGGGATTTCAGGTGTATTACCACACACAAATACACATACAGACGCCCACACACACATCACATACACACACAAACACACACACTGACACATACATTCACACACACCACACACATGGACACAAGTCCTATCTGTTTTAGCAATCACAGTCTTCATCAATTTTTACCTAGGCTGTGACCCTATCCTGAGACCTACCCTCCCCAGAAGCTGGGGTTATCCTGGATCTCACAGCAACTGGAGTGAGCCTGGAACCAGTTGTTGCTGGGAGAATATCTGCTTAGTGGCAAGTGTTCTCCAGTTCATACTCCCTATCACAACCAGCATCATTAAGACACGGATCTGGTCTTCTGTTTCTCCTGCTTCAATGTCTCCAGTGGCTTTTTTTTTTTTTTTTTTTGAAACTTGGGGCTCTATATCATCTGTTACCCTTGTGGCGTCACACTCATTTCTAACCCATGTGCATCCTGTCCAGGAAGGCTGCACAGCACCTAGCTAACCTCCAGTTCTATTGGTACCCACCCGTAGCCCGTCTCATCCCTCTTACCGCTACACGGCACCTTACATGGAAGACACAGGATACGTGTTTGACCAACGATGTATAAATGGCCATGAGGCCCCCTGACAGCCCCTCTCCCCACCCTGGCTTCTAACCTGCTCCTGTTCTCATGGTGCCCACCTCAGCTGATAACGTCCCCAGGGTCTTTGCCTCCCAAGCTTAAAGCATGCGGCTTCACCCTCAGAAAATATGCATGTTGTCTGCAGTCCACTGGCAAGGGGACGGTGTCCGCCATTGCCACTTCCAGAGTCTCTATTCCTCTCGATACAGAAACGCTTCTTGTGTGCCAGGCACTATGCCGAGAGTGCGGATCACTCCCTCACTGCCATCTACCACACCCCATTCACAAGTGAGGACATGGGGGCAGAGACGTGAGGTAGGCGGCGTGCACCCTGCATGCTCAGGCCCTCTGGCTCCAGCACCCTCACTATCAGCCGCTGCCATGCTATTCCTTTTTGTAAAGATGATAGGTAATAAAACCCAATTTAACGGTAATAGCACTCTATTACATTTTTTAAAAAGTCAAACACTGAAACTCATTAGTCCTAACTTTTGATCCATAAATCCCTTCTGAAACAAGGCAGAAATGCATGAGCAAAACAATAACTGAAGAGTGTCCATCTCTACACAGAAAGGCACCGCTGTCTTAATCTGGCACATCAGTCTCCAGACTGACTCACGCTCCATTAAACTACAGCATCCTTTAGACCAGCCTGTCTGGACACAAGCCCTCTTCCTGCACACTGTTTCCCTTCAGTGTCAGCCTGGAGAGCCGGAGAGCTGGCTTGGTAGTTAAGAGCATGTACTGTTCTTGCAGAGGACCCAAGTTCAGTTCCTAGAAGCCACGTTGGACAGCTCACAGCTGCCTACACTCCAGAAGATCTGACACCCTCTTCTAGCCTCCTCACACACCTGCACGCAGGCACACACTCCCCATACACATAATTAAAAATAAAATAAGTAAAGAAGGCACAGCATGGGCATCATACCCCAAGTAGCCTTCCACAGTTTCCCCAGAGTGTATCCCACACAGCATTATTGTGTTCTAGAAGGCACCACCGATTATCTGTTCATATTTCCATGATTCTTCATGGAGAAGCTATGTCCTCTGTGACTCAGTGTCCCTAGCAATGAACCCTATACCTTGCACATACTGTCTGTTCAATCAGTGGACGAATGCAGAGGGAAAGCATAAAGAACCTGCAGTTCCCAGGTAGCAGCAATTTTCTCCTGGCTGTGACTGATGGGGAATGTTCTTCTGCGTATGTGTTTGTCTTATTGGTTGATGAAACACAGATTGGCCAGGCAGGATGATAGGCAGGACTAGGAGACAAGGAGGATTCTGGGAAGTATAGGCAGAGAGGGGGCATCATGTGACCCCGGAAGTGACATAGCTGGGCAGAATCAGTATATAAGCAGGGCAAACAGGAAATTGAGCTCTTCTCTTCTCTTCTCTGTGGAGACACTGAGCCAGCCATCATCATGTAGCAGATAAAGGAGTTGTAGGTCTGGTAAGCCAAGACCACGTGGAAATGTGTGGATTAGTAGTTATGGGTTAATAATTAAGTCAGAGCTAGCCAATAAGAAATCATAGCTAATGGCCAAAAGCTTTATAACAAATATAGCATCCATGTGTTTCTTTGGGAAAGAGAAGGGCAGCGGGACCTGCCAGGCCAAGAAAACCTCATGTAACATGTGACCCTGAAAAGCATACACCCACTGTAATATGGAATTGGACATCACAAAATAATCCACAGTGGTAAACTCCTTCTCTGGTGGTGGGCCTGAAAAGTCTTCCAAAATGGTCCTGCAACATAATTAACTTCCATAGCAACTGCTCCTTAGCGTCAGCCTTTATAGACACTACAAATGCTCCAGGAACCCAGGCTTGACAGCCATGGTCAGTAGGTATGTATGAAGGTAGTATATGTTTATCAGGTTACAAAGCTTCTCCAAGGCAGCTTAGAGCTATATCAAAACTCACAAAGCCCATTGTACTTAGAACAGATCGCCGAGTACTTAATGCTCTTACTGATTCAATTTAAAATGTCAAACAGTAGGTGCTGGGTAAAGATGAAGGGTATGTCGTAAGGCTGTGGAGTGGACAGGCTGTGGCGTGTATGGTAAGCCAATGAGAGTGCTGGCTTGAGATCCAGTCTGCCACTTGCAGGTTACAAACTTCAGATCTTAGTTAGTTCATCCTCAGAAGTGATGAGCTCAAAGAACTCACAGGCACCTTCTAGCTCAAATTTTCTCTAACATCAAGGGCTTATCTGGCCACTAGCAGAAAAGCATTGTGCCTTTTAAAATCTCCTTACGTGGAACCAGAGAGAGCATGAAAAACACAGAGTAGTAAATGTCAGCAATTTCCCTGCTCCGTTACCCAAGACTCACCTGCTGTTCTAGTTGGAAGTTCTTCTCTAAAACCAGAAGCATGTGGTCCCGCAGGGCTGCCTGCTCATGTTCCTGCAAGTTCCCCCTTTTCCCCTTCAATACAAGCAAAAGTGAAGTCCAGTTATTGAGAAGCTCCCCAAATGAGGCAGGCGACAAGTACTCTGTTAACACAGAACCTCAGCAACTTTGCCGACTTAGTTTCCCTATGTACTTTTTTCCTACAGAGCTGCAGGAAAAATGACTCCATGGGGTCCTTCCCAGCTTTAGAATTCTGCAGCCAGGACCAAACAAGCTCACAAGACAAAGAATCAGGCTACTATCAAAACTCTAGGGCTGACTTTCTTCCTGCCTTGGTGCAGGCATGGCCAGCAGCCACTCAGCTACTCCCATGCAGACTGGTTTTAAGCCTGGGCCAGGTCCCCCTTCCCCAGAGCACATTTCTGTACTGTTCTGTGCAGGGGGCAGTGAGCCTGCAGTGGGTTTTTAATTCTAGCCTGTGCAAATTTGTTACACCCAGAGTCACACACCTGAGAGAAGGAATGGTTACATCTCCCCTGAAGGTTACAATGTTTATTGGCTGACAGAGTCTACTGCTAATGAAAGCAAAGGTCCACATTCCCGTGTTTCTAGGCGAACATCCATCCTCAACTTCCCTTCAGTGGAGTGCTGGCCCCTTGGTAGCCAGAGGCTCCAAGGAAGGTTCCAGAGAACAACCCCCTTACCCATGTTCAGCTCAACTCCTGACACTGAGGTTAGCACTAAAACACAGCTCAGCGGGAGGCGGAGCCTGACTCTAAAGAGTGTTTCCAGCACCAGAAGCAAGCTTCCACACCACCGTGAAAGGTAACCCCTGACCCTTCTGCAGCTAACCCAACCGCAGTTCTCACAATCTAGTTAAAGGCTCCTAGTGATATGCATGTTGGGGCGGTGCCCACGTGCTGCAGCACTGAGCCACACGCCAAGCAGTCAAATATTTTTTAAACTGAAAAATGTGCTATGTTAAGATAGAATTGGGGTAATTAGACTTATAGAATGTATGGCTGATACTCAGCATGATGTTTCCATTTCTATTCTCATCCAGTGGGATCTGCCAAAAGGCTTGAAGTAGAGGTCAAACTTTGTTCTCTTTATTTTATACAACTTACTGAATAATTATTTTCAAGGTATTTTAAAATACTGAAGATTATCTTAAAACACGATTTCAAATCACTTTATTTCAGCAGTTTCTTTCATCACACAGTGCTAGCCTCTCTCACATCTACCAGGCAGGTCCTCCACTATGGAGCTATGCCCAAAGCCTCAGATCTCTTTGTTTCAAGACATTCAGTGGTATACAGTGATACCATCAACCCAGGAATCATGGAATCATGGGAAGGATGACTCCGAAGGGTTCCTAATCCCTGTAGACACAACAGAGCAGAAGAGTTACTGCCATGGTTCGTTTTATGTGACAACCTGGTTAGATTACTACAACTGGTCAACCTTAAGTAAAGACGACCCAACCATATTGTGGGTGGGCTTTGCCCAGTCAGCTGAAGGCTTGGGTGCAAAGCTTGAAGGAGCAGACTTCTCATGATCTCAACACAGAAACTCCAGCCCCAGAGTTCATACTGACACTGACGGGCTGATCTGCAGGTGTGGGGTACGGGACCCTCACTGCAGTAGAATGAGTCTCCCTACACACTCATACAAACAGAAACGTGAGCGTAACATATACATACATAGATGTGCATGCATGTGGGAGTTCCGTTTCTCTGGAGAGCACTAACTCCATGGTAGCCCTAAAGTTCTAGTGCCCTTCTGCCCTTCTGTATCCTGAAGAGAGTTAAAGGATAAAGTGAGCTCACTGGTGAATCTCAGCGGCAGAGAGGAAGGTAACCCACATCCTACCTTGACAGTGCAGCCATAGTGCTGAAAGGGACAGTCTTGCTCCGCCTCAGGGCATACGGCAAGGTGTTCATTCACCTGCAAAACAGGACAGCCTATGCTGTGGAAATACTCGGGGTTCTTCAACTGTTTGCTATCATCATCAGGGAACCAGGGGTTACTTGGGAGGAAGTGAGGGACAGAGGAGAAACTCTGGTGAGGCAGACCCAGGGTGAAAACAGAAACGTGTGCAAGCGACGGCCCCAGAAGACAGGTGGAGTCATCCCAAAGACCATGCAATCCTCAGGCCTTTGGCTAGGGTTCTCATCAAACCCACACCACAAGGATGGCCGAGCATTTCCCCTCGCTCCCAAGGGGGGAGAATCCACTCACCTCAGTTCTCGGAATAGTCCTCAGACACTTGTTGGGACAAGACACTGGGTATGCAGGACACAAGTTTTCCTCGTGATCCTGAAACAGAGCACGTGGGAAACAAAGACAAGATCTCTCGCCTCAAGGTAGTGTGTCTCTGGACAGACATATCACGTGGCTTGCTCTCCGTAGGAAATTACAGCCCAGTTTCCAAAAAAGGTTAGAGATGTTTGCTTTCTTGATGTCAGTTAATTCAACTAAAAAATTAAAATTTCTGAGTGTCTGAAAGATCAGAAGGTTTGGGGCTCAAAAAAAGGCAGCCTGGGGGTGCACTGCTGAGTCTCCTCTGCTTGTGTAAAAGCATCCGTGGTCTCTACGTTGACATCCTGCCGCTGCAGCCAAATAACAGAATCCAGAGGGCAGCCGTTATCACCGCCTCCACATGACCTAGGCCTTGTATCTCATCTGCAGCAGGGGCCCCTTTATCATTCTCACCAATGATAGAGGAGTAGAGTCTCACCAAGGAAAAGGCTTAGAGTTCTTTGTGTAATCTCAAACTACTCCCCCACCCTTCTCTCTCCCCTACTTGAGAACCACCTACTTATGCGCAGCCAAGGATGAGCCATCCCTGAACTTCCGATCTCCTGCTTCCGCTGAGAGCACAGGCGTGTATCATCTGGTTTGTGAGGTGAGCATGCTACCATCTGAGCTCCGGCTCCAGATGATACAAGACCACTTCCTTTTAGAGGCAGGGTCTCGTATAGCCCAGACTGGCCTTAATGCTAAGAAGCCAAGGATGAACTACTCATCCTCCTGGCTCCAAGTGCTGGGATGAGCGGTGTGAGCCACGCTGGAGATCAAATCCAGGGCTCTCTCCACATGCTGCTAGTCAGAGACCCTATCAATGGAGCCACACCCCTAGCCAGGCAATCCCTCTCCTTAATCCAAATTCAGTACAAGTAAGTAAAGAGTACACTTGTGAGTTCCATCTGAGCTGCACACACGGCCACCCACGGGTGCCTGCTCTCACCTGCAAGTCAGTGACCACCACATCCCTCTTGCAGTAAAGGCACCTCTCCTCTCGGAACTGGCAGTATGCACTCAGGTGCTCCTTCAGATCCTTCCGGAGCATGGCTTCCCGGCAGCTCTCGTTGGGGCAGGGCACGGCTTGGAAGGAGCAGTGTTGAAGATGATCCTACAACAGGGCCAGTGTGGGGCACAGCTGGGAAGACAGCCGAGTGCCAGCTGGGCTGGCCTGTCCCCAGCTGTCATGGAGACCCACTGCCTCTTCTGAGGACAAGGGCAGAGAGGCAGCTTGGGATGGCACCATGAAAGCTAGTCTGGCTTGTCAGGAATTAGGGAAGAGATAAAGATTGAGTGGGGAGGGGGCCTGGGAGGTCCTGGGGGGCAATAACATGACGTTTGTTTACAGGATCCCATGGCCTGCTCCCAGCCTTTCCAGTGAGTGGCAGGTCTCGGTGGCACTCTTGTGTTATTCTCCCACCCCCATTCCCAGCACCTTCTATTAGTCTCTGCACAGCAGAGCAGGGCAGGCCCTGGCAGGAAGGAAAGGAGCGTGAAGACTCCACAGAAGTGGGTATGGACTAGAAAAGAAGGGAGCATGCTGGGTCTACAGAGGAGAGTACAGACTGATGATCGGGGAGACACAAGGACAGAGAAGGCGAGTTTCTGGGCAGGATGGTCAGGCCTTGTTCAGTTACGTAACCTGTAATGTTCTTCATCGGGGGCACGAGTGAACTGAGGGTATCCATTCAGGGCTCATCACTGGAGACACTGAAATTACCTCACTACTGCAAGTGACTGTGACACTGCTGAGGCACCAGAACACATCTCTGTACACGGCAACATCTAGAGCCCACAGGCCAGATGTGGCCCCACTGCTGCTCTATCTCTATAACCTCCTCTTTTTCTAAGCTGTTTGGTTCACATATGGCTATGGCTGCCTTGCTCTCCAGTGGGGAGGGAGGAAGACATGGGAGCCATGCAGAGCCCGAGCTTGCTATCTGGCTCTTTTGTCTAAGTGCCAGGTGTGGTGGTGCACACCTTCAACCTTAGCACTGAGTGGGCAAATGGATCTCTGAAATCAAGGAACCTGGTCTCAGTCGTGAATTCTAGGTCACTCAGGGGGTACAGAGTGATTATATATATATATTAAAAAATTCCATTACGTTTGTGAAGAGTGTGGGTGCAGGTGCCACGGTGGTATGTTTGTGGAGGTCAGAAGACAACATGTAGAAGTCAGTTGCCTTCCACCATGTAGATTCCAGGAATCAAACTCAGGTCCTCAGGCCTGGAAGCAGGCACCATTTCCTGATGGGTCATTTCACCTACTCTACTGCCAGGCTTTTAATGGAGGGGCCGGCTGAGGAACTGGGAGAGATGCAGAACCTGCGAAGCCCAAGTCATTTCACTACTGACTCTCTTTAAAATCTTTTTTATTTACTTGTCGATTGATTGATTGACTGACTGAGTATGGGTAGTTTGTCTGCATACCATATGCATGCCTGATGCCCAAGGACACTAGAAGAAGGCACTGGATCCCTGAGGACTGGCGTTAGAGATGGCTGTGAGCCACCATGTGGGTGCTGGGAGGACTCTGTGGAAGAGCTGAGCTGATGCTCTTAACTGCTGAGCCACACCTCCAGCCCCGACTATCGACTACCCGGTCTTAACAGAAACAGTTTGCCACCCGTCCTCAAGGGAAAGCAAGAGAGTAGATTTTCCTTCTCAGCACAAGAATAAAGTTATTTCCTTTTGTCTTTTGTAGTAAGGAAACTGAAAACCCAAACTAACTTATTGCTAGTCTCCCTGCCTCACCTAACTGTTGACATTCACTCAGACCAGTGAGACCCTTCACCTCAACACACAAGCAGCAGGAGACAGGGGTGAGAGCTTGGCAAACAGCTGCAGAGGCAGACCCTTCCCCCCACCACAGCCTGTGCTCTGCTCTCCACAGCTTTCTGTGGTGGATCCAAGCCCCATTTGTTCTTCTGGCTTGGTGACAGCACAGCTGGACAAGAAGCCCCGTCTAGAATTTGCACAGAAAATAATACAGTCCTGTGAGCTCCTCCAGGGGGACAAGGAAGTCATCTACACATTTATCATCTCAGTGCCCAGGGTGTGTGTGTGTGTGTGTGTGTGTGTGGGAGAGAGGGGGAGAGAGAGAGAGAGAGAGAGAGAGAGAGAGAGAGAGGGGGAGAGTGTGCGTGTGTGTGAGTGTGTGTGTGTGAGTCAGAGAATGAGTGTGTGAGTGTGAGTGTGTGAGTGTGTGTGAGAGAGAGAGACTGTGTGTGTGTGTGTGAGTGTGTGTGTGTGTGTGAGAGAGAGAGAGAGCATGTGTGTGTGAGAGAGAGTGTGTGTGTGTGTGAGACAGAGAGTGAGTGTGTGAGTGTGTGTGTGTGTGTGTTCTGGAAGCTTGATAAAGGGCTGAGTCATCTGACATGCATGTTCCACCCTGTGTGGGTGTGAGGGGAAAATCTCAGCAGCTGCCAAGCAATTCCCTGGAAGCAAGAGGTGGCTGAGTCACTTGCCTGATGGGGGCTGTGCCTTCCCCAGCTGGAGGAAGCTGAATCTTGCAGACTTTGTGCGTCCCTTTGTCCCTTTACCTGCACTTCCCTGACACCTCTGACACATCTCCTCCAGTGCCTCACTCGCAGAGCACAGCCTGGGTGACCTGGCCCCAGGACTCTGCTATGGGTCACAAGCATTAGATCAGAATGCACAGTCCCGAGCACCAAGAGACAAAGCAAATGCTCGGAGGGAAGGGCCTGGCCCTCACAACTGTGCCTTGTGCCAGTCATGCCTACCTCCCATCCTAGGGTCCCACAATTATGCATCCCTGCTGGATTCTCTGATTTGTTTTTTTCTGAAATCACAGAGATCCCATAATTTTGGCCTAGCATACAGAGGGTGCTCTCTCCATGCTCCAAGCGAACAACCCCTTTGGTTAAACCTTCACCCTTGGTGCTCATGGTACTGCTAGATTGGGGGTGGTCTGAGAGAAAGCCAGGGAATCCTGTACAGGGCTCAACCAGGACCCATCACAGAAAGAGGAAGTGGGAAGCACTAGACAGACAGCCTGGGCAACACTGGTCACAAGTGATACCAACCTGGAATCGCCCCAGAATCACCCTGGCATTACATCCAGGGGCGTTCTTGCAGTAGACATATAAGTTGAGGACTTCCCTTTTGCAGCAGTTGTCTTTGAACACCTAAAACACAGACACGATCAGTCTCACACCCTCCAGTACACCACAGTGGTGCAAAGGAAGCTATGGTAAGATTGGTCTTCAAGTCAATCTCAGAAGCAGATGGAAACTTCCAGGCAGTGGCTGAAACGGAAATGTCACAAGACCACACTGAAAGTAAAGGCTGCCTCAGACACACATTTCTAGCAGGTCATATTAACTCAGTGCTCAACATAGCAGGCTGTAGCTAGGGAAAAGCACAGGGTGAGCTTGAGGGGGGGGGCGAGGTCAAGGGCAGAGTGTCATTTCTCACTCTGACCTAAGTGTCAGTGTCCCTGAAGCTGTGCTGGCTGGTTATTTCAGCACAAAGTTATTTCTACAAAGGGTCAGAGGGCCAATACTGTTAGCTTGTCAGGCCACACGGCAACCGTCCCTGAACTCGCTCTGTAGACCAGGCTGGCCTCAAACTCACAGATTCACCTGCCTCTGCCTCAATGCTGATTTCTATAATACTTACACCAGAAAGCACAGCTGTGTTCCAGTAAAACAGTTATGGACACTGAAGGCCAAATAGCGTATAATTTTCATGCACCACAAAACGTTATTCTTTGATTTTTTTTTTTCAGGTGATTTGTTTGTATATGTGTTATGTGTTATGTGCCTCCATGAGTTTACAAGCACTGTGTGCATGAAGTTACCTCCAGAGGCCAGAAGAGGGCATTAGAGCCCCGGAAACTGGAGTTGCAGACAGTTGTGACCTGTCATGTGGGTGCTGGGAACTGAACCCAGGTCACCTGCAAGAGCAGTCAGAGCTCTCAACAGCTGAGCTGTCACTCCAGCTTCCTTGGTTTTAAAAATAAATTATTTTAAAATAGTTTAAGACTCACAAGAGGTTGCAAAAATAGCATAATTTTTGTGCCTCTTTTTTCCCCCCATGAATGTTTAAGAATGTGAAAGCCATTCTCTTAGTTCAGAGGCAAAACTGGCAGAACTTGCCCCAAGATTGTAGTGTGCCTGCCCCGACCTAGTGGGACACACACATACTGAATACTCGGCCCTCTGGAAGGCAATTACTGGTAAGGGGCTGGTGAGTCAGACCAGCTGCTTGGGGGAAATCCTTCAGGAGGAGGCAGAGTTTGAGCTCCTGAAACACAAGGAAGAAAAGAAAACTGACTGAAGAGACATTTTCAGGGAGGACAATCTCCATGACCCTGAGTTAGACAGTGGCTTCTTAGGCACAGCAAAAGAACAAGAAACAAACAAAACCAAAAGAACAGTAGACAACAACTGTATTGGTTAGTTTTTGTCTACTTGACACAAAGTAGAGTCACCTGGAAAGGTAAGCTTAACTGGAGAGTTGCCGGGGGTCAGATAGGGCTGTGTCTGTGTCTGTGAGGCATTTTCTTAATTGCCCATTGATGTGGGAAGACCCAGCCCACTGTGGGCAGTGACATCCCTACCCACCTGGGCCTGGACTGTATAAGAAGAGGAGCTGAGCAAGCCGGGAGAGGCAGTCAGGAAGCAGTGTTGTTTTGTGGTTTTTGTGGCCCAAGAGCTGCAGGACTTTGGGTTTGAGAGCGACTGTGGCTTGATACCACATGGCAGAACTGAAGCCCCTGAAGAGAGGCCAGGAGGCCACTGGCAAATGTGCAGCCTCAGTTTCGGGAGAGACACCAGCACGCTGGAGATGCCAGGACCCTGGGAAGACTACCAAGGGCAATGGCAGGTTCCTGAAACTATTGGTCAAGCCGTGTGTCATGGACAGCACAACCAAAGAAGTGTGACTGCAGAAACCCTCCCTAGTACAGAAAACGGTGAGTCCCAGAAATCAGATGCTGAATGTTTTACACCATTGAAATTTGGTTGTGCTTTGACTATAACTGTTTCCTGGTTCTTCCCTCTTGGAGAAAGAAATATTTAACTTTTTGTTTGTTTGTTTGTTTCTTTCTTTTAAACAGGAGCCCACAGGTTTTAATCATTTTTGTTTTGTTTTGTTTTCCAGACAGGATTTCTCTGTGTATACCTTACTCTTGTAGGCCAGGCTGGCCTGGAACTCAGAGATGCACCAGCCTTTGCCTCCCAAGTGCTGGGATTAAAGGTGTGCACCACCATTGCCTGGCTAGGAGCCACAGTTAAGAGACTGGGTATTTTAAAGAGATGTTAAATTTTTTTAGTGTTTGAAAGATGGTGGGACTTTGATTTATTTGATATTAATTTTAACATGATGTTGTGGACAAAAAGGAAGGAAACTGTTTAACAAGGATGTAACTGTGTGTTACATCTGTTACATACTGTTACATACTGTTACATAATGTTACACAGTTACTGACAACTGTGCTGGTTAGGGTAGTTTGTTTGTTTGTTTGGTCAACTTGACATGAATTAGGGTCACCTAGAATAGGGCGCCTCAACCAAAGAACTGCTTCCATCAGACATGCCTGAGGCAAGCATGTGGGTCATTTCCTTGACTAATGGTTGATGTGCAAGTGTCCAGCTCACTGTGGGCTGTGTCGCCCCTGGGCAAGTAATTCTGAGTGGTCAAAGAAAACAGAATAAGCAAGCCATGGGAGCAAACCAGACAGGAGCTCTGCTCCGTGCCTCGGCTCAGTTCCTGTCTCCCTTGAGCTCCTGCCCCCAATTCTCTAGATGATGGTTTGTAACCTGGAAGTGTAAGGTGAAGTAAACATTTCCTTCAAGTTGATTTTGATCATGATGCTTATCATAGCAACAGAGAAGCAAACTAAGACAACAGCAAAACCCACATATAAGGAAAAACAGATAAGGCCTTTAATTGCAGCGCTCAGGCGGCAGAGGCAGGCAGACCTCTGTGAGTTATAAAGGCCAGCCTGATCTACAGAGTGAGTTCCAGGACAGCCAGGGCTGTTACACAAAGAAACCCTGTCTCAAAAAACCAAAAAAAAAAAAAAAAAAAAAAAAAAAAAAAAAAAAAAGAAAAGCAAAGAAAAAAAAAAACAGATAAACTAAATTTCAACAAATTGAAAGCCATATGCTTCAAAAGACACCAACAATGAGGAAAGAATAAACCATGTAATAAGAGAAAAATATTGGCAAATCTGATAACTAAAAAAACCTGGTAATAGTTCCACAATTAGAGACAAAAGTCCAGTTAAAATGGGAAAAGGTGAGGCTGGAGAGATGGCTTTGGGGTTAAGAACACTTGTTGCTCTTGCAGAGCAATCAAGTTCAGTTCCCAGCATTCGAATCTGGTGGCCCATAACCATCTTTACCTCCAGCCTCAGGGGATCTGATCTGATTACTTCTTCTGGCCTCCATGGGTACTGTGCAGACAGACAGATGGGGGGAGGGGGAGAGGGACGGAGAGGAAGGGAGAGAGGTGGGGGGGTCTTAAGAGGCATTCTGATAGAGAAGACACACAGCTGGGCAGCTAAGGTGATCCTGTCACCAGCCCTCAAGAGAGTGACTCACACCCCAGATAAGAGAGGCTTCCCATCCATTAGGGAGGTGGATCAGAAAGGCCGAGGACTCTTTTGATGAGGATTTGCTAACTAGAACCAGCATGTGCTGTGGGACAAAGGTACAAAAGGGGGCAACTATCTTACAAAACAGACTAGCAGTTGTTGAAATGTCAACCCAGCCTAGCCGTGGTGCACACCTTTAATCCTAGCACTTAGGAGGCAGAGGCAGCCAGATCGCTGAGTTCAAGGGCAGCCTGGTCTACAGAGTGAGTTCCAGGGCAGTCAGGACTACAGAGAGCTGTAAAAACCAAACCTAAAAAAAAAAAAACAAAAAAAAAAACCAAAAAAAAAAAAACACCAAAAACAAAACAAAAAAAACAGACTTAAAAAACCCAAACATAAACAAACAAACAAATAAAACATTTTAAAAATTTAAAGAGAAAGAAATGTTGAACTCAGCACTGCCACAATAGGAGTTCCATTCCCAGGCACACAGAACTGAACTTCTGAGTTGTGCATGCTCTGAAGCCGGCTTCTAACAGCAATGTTCGCTTCTTAAAGTAGACTTTATTGCCGTGGATATAATCGTGTATTTGAACTGTAGTTTTTCCCCCAGTGCTGGAAATTGAGCCCCAGCTTTATGAACAGAAACCCACAGAAACCACACCCTTGGCTCCTAATATCAGATACCAATTTTTCTTGCAATCTACATATATACATCTCGTATGTGTGTATGTCTGCCTGCATGTATGTCTGTGTACTGTGTGCATGTAGTGCCCGTGGAGGGCAGAAGAGGGCACTGGATCCTTTGGGACTGAAGTTATAATTGGTTGTGAGATACCATGTGGTTGCTGGGAACTGAACACATTGCTCCGCAAGAGCAGCCAGTGCTTTTAACCATTGAGCCATCTACCTCCCTAGCCCCATATTTAAAAAAAAAATTAATCTTCATAATGAATATTCACAACAGCATTACTCATAGTAGTCCACAAAGTAGAGACAACACAAATGTCCACTAACTGCTGGCAGAGAAACCAAATGTGGTATATCCACACAGCAGGCTATATCCACACAGCAGGCTATATCCACACAGCAGGCTATATCCACACAGCAGGCTATGTCCACACAGCAGGCTAGCGTACAGCAATCAAAAGGAGTGAAGCACTAACACAGCCAACCACATGCATGAACCTTGAAAACTGCTGAGTGGAGCAACTCAGACAGAAAAGGCAGGATTCCATTTGCATGAAACACCCCAAAACACAGCTAAATCAAGGCAGAAACTAGGTTGTGATTTTTGTGGGTGTGGGAGGTGAAAGCCAGTGGACATGGGATTTCTTCTTGGGGGTCATTACACATCACAAAGGCTTCTGAAAACAGGAAGACCCGTTGAACCAGACACATGAAAGGTAAACTCTGTGGTATATGAACTGTAGTGATAAAGTTGCTACTAGACAGGACAATACATCTTAGGGATTAGCCAGAGAGGACGTGAACTCCAGGAAACAGGTGTTCTACCTTTTCCAGTAGTAGAACTGGAGCTAGTGTAGGAAGGTGGTGAGACCTGGGGGTGGTGTGGTCCAAAGGGACAAGAGGAGGGCCTGACCTGACCCACAGCAGAGAACTAGGGGTGACGAGTTAGGTCCCCAGCTGCTGTCCTGGATGTCACCCCCGAATGCTGGCGCTTCCCAACCCAAATCAGTGACCTGCTCACCTCCTGAGGCTTGATGGCCTCCTTGTCTACGGGGCAGATCGGCACTGTGTTCCGTTCCCTGGAGAGGAAAGTAAAGATGAGGCTGAAGTTAGGTGTTTAATCTTAACAGTCCTTCCAAGACCATCCAGGCATACATTAGCCCCAAGTGCCCAGTCTCTGTGTTGGCACAAGCTGTACGCTCTACCCAGACAGCAGCCTTGTACCCGCTTTGGTGACCTCAGTCTCATAGCTTTCCTGGAAAACTCTGTGAGCTAACTGCCTTGAAGGTTTTGATGGAGTGATGCTCCTGCAGGCTTGGCAGCTGCCTTGGCAGTGGACAGCCCCTCCGCAGTCAGGTCACTCATAGACACGACGGCCTGCTACCTCAAATACGTAATCATCAGGGCAGCCACAATACAGACACTGCACGCCCTCTCCAGTAGACAGCTATGGTGACAGACTGTGTCTGCGGGACAGGTGCAGTGTGAATTTTAAGGCAGGGTGAATGTTCGTGGGGGAGTGGCAAGCAGAGAGGATTACGCTTCAGTTCTCGGCCAGGAGCCTGGGAGAGCCTCTCTTGAGCCACAACAATGCCTCAAACCTCAGTTATAGTCCCACAGCCATAGCGGGCTCAGCAGCCCTGGGGAACACCCTTAGCTGTCTGGTCAGCTGTGGTCCGAGCTACAGGCCCTGGCCACTCACCTCAGAGACAGGATGCAGTGCTGGCAGAAGCGGTGCCCACAGCCCGTCTGGTGGGGGTTGTGAAGCACCGAGTGGCAGAAGGCACACTTGTAGCGTTCTTCCAGCTGCTCCACAAACTGGTACTCTGTGTCAGGCTCGAAGTCTAAGGAAATGGAGTTGCCGGAATTCTGGCGGATGAAGGAACAGGGGACAGCTCCTTGTTCTTCCGATTGAGCCATTCTGGGGAGTCAGAGAGGTGGGTGTAAACTAATAACCCAAACAGCAGCAGCCACCACGCGTGGGCCGTAATCAGCAATCCCAGCACTCATCATGTCAGGGTTCTAACAACTTCCTGCCTCAGGGGGGCACCTGTAAGAGTGCAGATGGCTTCCAGCAAGGCTGTGTGATGGCTGCTCCTGGCTGGGCTTACAATCACCTTGAAGGCTTTTCCAAGGGGACTAGCTAAAAGAAGACTCACCCTGAATGTGGCTGAGCCTGGATTTCCCCTTTCCCTGCTTCCAAATCCATGGAGATGTGAGCAAGCAGCCCCAGGCTCCCGCCACCACAGCCACACCTCTCCGCTGCTGGGCCTTGCTTACTATGATTTGCTGTACCCCCTCTGTCTTGGTTAGGGTTTCTGTTGCTGTGAAGAGACACCATGACCACATCAACTCTTATAAAGGAAACATTTAATTGAGAGCTGCTTGCTTACAGTTTCAGAGGTTCAGTTCATTACCAGCATGACAGGAGCATGGCAGCATGCAGGCTGGAGCAACAGGAAGTTGACTGACTTATTGGGCAGTATCCTGAGCATAGGAAACCTCAAAGCCCCCCCCCCCACAGTGACACACTTCCTCCAACAAGGCCACGCCTGCTAATAGTGCCGCTCCCTGTGAGATTATGGGGGCCAAATACATTCAAACCACCACACTCTCAAACCATGGGCCAAATAAAGCCTTTCCCGATTGAGTTGGTTCTTTAGTTATTTGGCCACAGCAATGAGGAGTATTACAAATACACTTTACAAGAATAGCTCTTCATCCATCAGCATTTTACAGGACACCAAACAGTCCGGTCAGTTGGGCCAGAAGCTGAACATTCAGAACACACCCAGTAGTTAATGGCATGATAAGCAAGCGTTTAAACTGTGTTCCCAAGGCTGAGAGGGACTCTAAGAGGATGCTGAGACTTCTAGGGAATCTTGCACTTCTCCCCATCCATCTCAACCTCTCACTTTTCACCCCTCTCTCCCTCTTATCCACCATTGCAGTCAAGTAATTTGTATATCTCCATGGAGGCCTCTTTTGAGAAACTGGTCTCCAAGGTGATGGTGTCTGAAGGGGAGGCGTTTGAGAGGACGAAGTCCCCTCACAGAGAGGGTCCAAAAAACCCCTCTCCCTCTTTCTTCCTGCAACAATGCAAGGGGAGCCTCACCAGAGTCTGAGCATGCTAGACAGTGCTAGCACGTCGTCTAGATGCCCAGCCCCGAGACTCAGGGAAACAGATGCTGCTCAAGAGTCACCTGGTGTAGCACACCTGTTATTCCCAGTGCTCGGACAGCACCAAGTCACACCGTGACCCACCCAAACTAAGGAAGACCCTGTTCACTGCTTTCTCCTCCAGCCTGTTCTCCAAGCTGTACAGAAGAATGGTATTTTCAGTGCTACTGTGACTCAGCTGTGGCTTCTCCTAGCTCTGATTTAAAAAAAAGTCCACAATGAGAGCTGGGCAGTGGTGGTGCACACCTTTAATCCCAGCATCAAGGAGGCAGAAACAAGTGGATCCCTGGGTTTGAGGCCAGTGTGGTCTACAAAGTGAGTTCCAGGACCACACAGAAAAACCCTATCTCCAAAAAAGAAAAAGAAAAGAAAAAAGAAAAAGAAAAAGAAAAGAAAAAGTCTAAGGTCTACAATGCTAAACAAACTACAGGACAACCTCCCTGCCACCCCCTGGACCTCTCTTGCCTTTGCCTCCACTCCAGACACACAGACTTCTTCTAGTTCTTCAAACGCACAAGCTCGCCTCTACCGCAGGGCTGTGCATGGAGCTGCTGTGTGTGCCTGGGGTGTGGCGCTCGTGTGCAGTGTTGCCCTCGTGACCACATGGCTTCTGCTGATTCACATCAAAGCAACAGCCACTCGCCACAAGAGACCCTCACAAGATTGGGGCCACTGACATTTCCTCAACTAGAGGAGGTACAGGAGGCCTGTACCTGATCCGAAGGTACATGATCCGAAGGGCTCATGACTGGCTGAGGAGGTGAGGGGCACAAGGCCCCGCCCTTCCCTGAGGCTGTGTGAGTGGTGAAGGGTTGCTAGTGCGGAGGAGAAGACTCTGCTTATGTAGCAACCCACAGGGTGCCCAGGCTCCTGTAAGTGACACCTCGCCGCAACCTTGTAAGGAACCCTGGTTAAACTCATTGGCTCACCAAGTTAGACTGGTTGGTCCTTGGTCCTACCTGGGATCCTATGTCCCTTCCAGGCCTCTGTACTCAGGAAGCGCTCACCTGGGCTTTGCCTGGCCTCTCAGGCATGGGGCCTTTAGGACAGCTAGCTTCACAGCAGAAAGCAGACTGAAACATCTGTCAGACATGCACATGGCCTTGTGATGCTGTCTGTGAACTCGGGTGGATAAGAGGAAGTCTACAATTATATAATCCTTTTCCAATTTCTGAGTGAACTCAAATCAAAAGTAAACACCTAACACCAGAACATGGATTAAGTAAGGTCTCCAGGTTCCTTTCCAGTGCAATGCCCTGCCTGAGATCTAACGCACTTCTGTACCGCGACTTGGCTGATGTCTGTGTCGGGGATACGGTCACATGTGGTGGTGTTCATCTCCCCATCCCACCCCTTGTACCTCACCTGCGGTGGGGACTAGGTCAGTGATGGTGTGGTGATTCCGAACGCATTTTTAAGAGGTAGCTGTGTTAGTGTGGCCTCAGTACAGTGACTTTACACCGTGTGTGTGTGTGTGTGTGTGTGTGTGTGTGTGTGTGTGTGTGCACGCATGCACGCACGCACACACATGCGTGCGCACGCTTGCCTCATTCCTACGTATATGGTAAAAACTGTCTGTCCACTCTTTGACTGCACACACATTCGGGGCCTTCTGAATGTGCCTGGCCCTCAGGTAGGGAGCAGTGGCCTCTGTGACGTGAGTGTGGTGACTCAGGCCAAGCTGTGACAGTGGTTTTCAGAGTCCAGCAAATGGTTAAACATGGGAGCCTCTTGGGTGGCCCCTGGGATTGCCATTCTTCTACATGTCCAGGTCAGGAGGCTTGCCCTGCAGACTCACTCAGGGGCATCGTCCAGGCCTAGCAGCAGCTGTGTGGTTTGACAAGCAGGGCAAGAGGTGAGTGGCCTCTGCGGCAGTTATCTGCCAGCCTTTTCTCCCTCGTGTGTTCTTCCCAGTGCAGTCCTGACTCAGTCTTTCTGTGAACCTAACATTGCTCTAAAATAAAAGTCTTTAGTAAAAGGAGGATGCTTAAGACTCTCTGCCTGTGTGGTCCTCTCTCTTTTGATGTCTGCTATATTTGAGATTAAAATAGAGGAATTTAAAAACATTTCATTAATTTAATTTTTTTTTATTTATTTTATGTGCATTGGTGTTTCACCCACATGTATGTCTGTGTGAGCGTGTTGGATCCTCTGGAACTGGAGTTACAGTCATGAGGTGCCATGTGGGTGGTGGGAATTGAACCTGGGTCCTCTGGAAGAGCAACCAGTGCTCTTAACCATTGAGCCATCTCTCCAGCCCCTCATTAATTCATTTTAACATAAGCCAATTATATGCTAACATAAGTAATGTTCAATGACAAATCAATAAGAGTCACACTGTTTCACCTTTTTTGTCTGTCTTTATCCTCACTTTATCCTCACAGCATCCCACCCTCAGGGAAACTTCCAGAAAACACGCCTGTGTATTTGTGAGGGGGGAGCAGGAGTGGCCAGTGGTGTGGTTTATTTGCAGGTGCAGATCCTCTAAACAGGAATTAGGCAGCCCAAGACAGAGCCACACTAGTATTCTCCCACCGTGGCCACTCCCAACGGCCAAAGCCAGAAGCCACCAGACTCTTCTTACCTAATTCACCTGAAGCTGGCAAGTGCCAGCAGGGCTTTGCCAGAAGCTGCCTGGGCACCATGGGTCTCTGGAGCTCATTTTGGGAAACATTTGGTTTGGCACCAGGCCTGTGGCTTTCGAGGCTAGCGGTTCTTACTGCCATGGACACTCCCTTGCTCCTGGTGAACAGAGAGCAGGGCATCAGGACTGAATGTCTCTCTTTGCTATCATTTGCATGTGTATTTCCTAGACCTAATCCAAACACCTTGCCTGTGCCTGTTAGCACCGAACACTCCCCAGTCTACTGGAGTCTAACCACGGCTTTTACTTCATCACATGTTCATAACTCAGCGTGTATGTTCAGCTGTCAGGTAGCCATTTCTGATAGTTCAGGACAGGGCTCCTTACAGGAGAGGAAGTGGGGTGTGTCCTAAGGCGGGGTACTGCTCCTTCCTCCGAAGCTTCCTCAAGCCTCCACCCACATGGCTCACCCACAGGAAAGCCCAACAGAACTACAATAGGCCGATGTCTTTTCACCTGACATAACACCCTCTAATTAGCCAGACACTTCCAATCAGAAAGGGGAAATACATGAGCAGCCACCATGTTAAAACCTTCCCCTCAGATGTACAAGAGCCGTGTAACAGGTCTGGCAAAGGAGTCCAGCTCTTACCCAAAAGGAAGAAGCCATCAATCATCGTGGCGCCTTTCTGCTCCCAACAGTGGCTATTGTGCCAGCAATGGACGTACAGATCACTGGAGAGTTACTAGTTCAAGCCAAGAAAAGAAATTGCTCTCTGAAAACTCAGTTTTTTAACTCCCCCTTTTCCCATTTCATAAACAAGTGTATCTTTTCTAGAATTCATGAATTCCAAAGGCTAGTCATGAGAATCACATTTTAAGTATTAAAAAAAAGATTTTAGAGTGTGTGTATGTGTGTGCGTGCAGATTCCCCGGAGCTGGGGTCACGGGAGGCTGTGAGTTACCAGGTGTGGGAGACGGGAAGGGAGTCCCGCCCAGGGGGAGCAGCGTCTTCTTCATCTCCATATCTCTGGCTCCCAAAAATTCAAGTTCTTTACTTACCTTATGTTATTCTAACTCATTTTTAGGAGCACATAATTACTCTAAAATGTGGAAGCTGTGAACATTCAGCTTTCCGCAAAATTGTCACTCGTCTT